ATTTGTCCTGACTGTGGGCCAGACAGGAAAACTCTAGTTACATTTCATCTTTGGCTGTACAGGGTGATAAGGTCAGATTCAGGCAAGTGACTTGTGCCTTCTCATTGCAGGATATGTACATACTATTGCAAATGCATACAGCATTTTAAATTCTCAGGAATGTTTTGAAACTTTCCTGTGGTCTAGTGCTCTTGGGTTTACATTTAAATTCCTAGTCAGATACTTTTATGGCCCAACTGTAATGACAGCCTTAGGCAGCTGAGATTTTTCTCAGCAATTTGTGTTTTTATTTTGGTTTGGCAAGGTTCTATGCTATACTCAGCACATTTTCTCAGTAAGCTAAGCTGTGAGTCAAAAAGCTGCCACACTGAGACAGACTTTAAGGAAGCTGAAAGTTCAGAAAATGAAATGGCTTTTTGGAGCCCATTGCCTATGGTGGGACACCTTGCACCACCTTGATGCTGGGGGATGGGCTTAGAACTGTCTCAGATGAATGTGCAGGGCTTTGCTGACTCCTCATGGGAGGCCATACCTTTTCAGAGGAGGGGATGGGAGGTGGGCTGGGGGGGAAAGCTGAAGGGATGGGCCTGGAGGAGGGATGAGGGAGACATCTGTGGTTGGTATGTGGAATGAATAAATTTTTTCTTAATTGCAAAAAAAAAAATCTGCTCTCTTGACTTTGTGCTCTAACTCACCAAACTCCCTGTGTTGCCAAGATCTGAAGTCCTGGCCCTTCTTTGTACTATATTTATGTTATTGTTCTCATTCTCTCGTATCATTTCCTGGTGAGTCATTGGAAAATATTTCAAAATTACATCTTGATTTATTTTTATTATTATTTTGAGACAGGGTCTCACTATGTAGCACTGCCTGGACATGAACTCAAAGAGCTGCCAACTTCTGCCTCCAAAGTGCTAGCATTGAAGATTTGTGCTATCACACCTGGACTATTTTGCTGTGGATATTGCTCAGTATGCTGTGTATGTGTTGCTCTGATTGGTTGATAAATAAAACTCTGATTAGCCAGTAGCTAGGCAGGAAGTATAGGTGGGATAACAGACAAGAAGAATTCTGGGAAGAGGAAGGCTGAGTTAGGAGACACCAGCTGGCCGTACAGGGAGTACCATGTAATGGCACACAGGTAAAGCCATGGAAAACGTGGCGACACATAGATTAACAAAAATGGGCTGAGTTTAGGTGTAAGGGCTAGTCAGTTGTAAGCCTGAGCTAATGGCTGATCAGTTTTAATTAATATAAGCCTCTGTGTGTTTACTTGGGTCTGAGTGACTGCAGACTGGGTGGGACACAGGAAAACTTTCAGCTACAAATGGCTACACTATCCATAGTGTCTTTTCAGTATATTGTTTTATGTCTCTTTTAGTGTTTTTGTAAGCATATAACAACATTATCTATCTATCTATCTATCTGTCTATCTACATATATTTACACTTTGATGAAATATAGAAATTTGCTTTAATTTAGGTCACATTATTTTCTATGTTTACTTAATATAATTACCTTATGTATTTTCTATATATTCACATGGATAGCTGCACCAGGTAGCAGTACAGTTTTCTCCTTAATTATCAACTATGCTTTGAAAACTTACAAGCATAATCTATTATATTACATTATAGATGGTGCATTTTCCTTTTGAAATTTCAAATTTTCTGTCTCATTCTCTCTAAAAAGTTTGTCCTTCATACCTGAAGGATACTTCTGCTGGATCTAAAATTTTGGTTGAGCAGTTTTGTACTTGTAACATTTGAAGTCACCAGTTCTTTTTGGCCTCTTTGGTTAAAAGTGGAGAACCTACTGTTACTCAAGTCATTATTCATTCTTAAGTAATGGTTTTCATTTTATCATTATTTTCAGGAGTTTTTCTTTGTCCTTAATCTTGAGCAATTAGTTTATGGTATCTAGGCAAGGGGTTCTTTATTGTTTAAAATTTACTTGTAAATTTAAGGATTTACTTGAGTATTTGAATTCATGGCATTAATTGTATTTAGAAGGTTTTAGGCCACAATTTGTTGAATACTCTTAGGTCCACTCTTGTCTCTTGCTCTAAGTGTTTAATGATGGAGACACTAGAACTTCAATTATTTTCCTCAGGATACTAAGGGATTTACCCACTGTTTATGGTTTATCTTCTCTCCATGCTGATATTAGCTAAATTTTTATTTTCTAATTTTAAGCCTATTTATTCTTTTCCTTTCATCTTCAGAGTGTTGAGCCTATTCATTGTGCTTTCACTTAAGTTAATGTAGTTTTCAAGTCTATGAATTCTACTTGTCTATTTTCATATACAATATTTGTTTATTGTATATTATAATATTCTAGGTTAGCATGAAGCATAAATATAATTAATCTTATAAATATAAACCAGGAGTCAGATATCGGGGTAAAACCTGAAAGACCTGAGAAGCAAGGGAGCAGCCACAGTTACTTCCTACCTCTCTAGATCCTCCAACCAAAAAGGGCCAAAATCTTGTCTCCACCTCACCTTATCACTTCCTGTTTCTGTTAGTACAGACATTCAGACCTCTATGGTTAACTAGTGGCTAGCTCTGACCTCTGACTCCAAGCAAACTTTATTTGTCAGAACACAAAATATCATAGAACATCAGCATACAGGGTACTGTGCTTCACCCCAATATTTTCATGCCTATTTGCTATTATATTTTGTTTTTAAACACTAGCCACCCCTACTATGATATCTCTTCTCTTCTAAGTGGTTCCCTCTCCTCCAAGTCAATCCTCCATTCTACTTTTTTTTACATGCATTCTATTACATTCATTTCCTATTTCCTTTAAGATCTTTTCCCCTTTCTAATTTTGTGACCTACAAATATACATATATAGAAACTTAGACACATTTCTGTATATATTTTTTATTTAGGTTCCATATATGAGAAACATGTGGTATCTATCATTCTGAGACTGACTTATGTCACTTAGCATAATGACTTCCATTTAATTCACATTTCTGATATTCCAGGATTTCATTTTTTATAGCTGCATAAAATTTCAGTATTTACATATATTATTTTGTTATTCTTCTGTTGAAGTATATTATCTTAGTTACTCTTCTATTACTGTGAAGACCAAAGCAACTTATAGAAGGGAGAATTGAATTGGGGAGGCGGGGCTTGCTTACAGTTCCAAGGGGTTAGAGTCCATGACTATCATGACAGGAAACAAGAAAGCAGTCAGGAAGGCATGGTGTTGGAGCAGTATCTGAGAGCTTACATCTTACTCAAAAGCAGCAGGCAGAAACAGAGACACAGGGCCAAGTGTGGGCTTTTAGAACCCCAAACCCACCCCCATTGATATAATTCCTCCAAGGCCACACCTCCTAATCCTTCTTAACAACCTACCAATTGGGAACTAATGATTCAAATATATGGGCCTATGGGGGGCATTCTCATTCAAGCCACTACAGATGTACAGGCTCTATTACTTGACTATTTTTCTCCTAGGATTTTCGATTTTCCACTTGTTCAAAGATTATATCTACTAGATATAAATAATCCTTTTCTGTAACTCCTTTTATACCATTTCCATTTACTCATTTTTTTTGTTTTTTTAGTTAAGGGATAGACATATCTGACAGGATTAGACCACAGGTCCAAGTGCTGTCCTTTCATCTGACAACCAAACACTAGTAAGGTCAGAAATCACCTGTCTAGAGCATCTAGTGTTACTGGCAGGGGAAAAAACAATTATTTGTCTCTTGTTGCCTCTGCACTATCATTGTTACTAAGGGATGAAAATCTCACCATGATTCACATGCTTCTACCAGGGGTTGGGTGCTATTAGTAGACTCTGTTGTTTGTTTTTTACTGTTTACTTTTTGGGTGGCCCACCACCCAGCTCCCAAATAAATACACACACAGAGTCTTATTATTTCTTATGAGTGCCTAGCCTTAGCTTGGCTTCTTTCTAGCCAGCTGTTCTTAAATTATCCCTCTGGGCTTTAACTTTCTCTATTTCTGTAAATTTTTTCTTTCCTTCTTATTCTGTGCCTGGTTGTGTGGCTGGTTGGCTAGCTCCTTCTTTTCTTGCTCTTTGCTCCTTCTCTTTTCAGATTTCTCTTCCTGTCTATTCTCTCTGCCTGCCAGCCTCATATGTCCTTTCTCCTGCATTGCTGTTGGCCCTTTATCTCTTTATTAGACCAATAAGGAGTTTTAGACAGGCAAAGTAACACAGCTTCATTGTGTGTTGATATATTGTGTACCATAATAAACTTTACCTGAAGATCAGAGAACAGAACAAGCCACTAGATTAGACATAGAGGCTAGGCAGGGGTGGCACATACCTTTAATCTTAGTACTCAAGAGGTAGAGCTCTGTCTGGATCTCTGTGAGTTCAAAGCCACCCTGGACTACATGAGTTTGACTCAGTCTAGGAGATAAACAGAGCCAGGAGATGGTGACACACAACTTTAATCCCAATACCTGGGAGTCACACACCATTAATCTTAGAACTTGAGATCTCATGCCTTTGCTTGGGAAGCATACACACATTTAATCCCATAACATGATGGCTGGGTAGAGAAAGTATATAAAGGCTTGAGGAAATAGGAACTAGATGGTTTTCAGGCTGAGGAATTGGTGAGGTAAGAGGTGGTGGCTGTGGCTTGTTCCTTTGTCTCTCTGATCTTTCAGTATTTACCCAAATATCTGGTACCAGGTCGTTTATTAAAAGATCATTTAGTAATTTTAGTAATATCTGGCACCCAACTTGTGGGGCATAAATTAATGAAAAAGTTGCTTGCCCTGTGGCCTTGCAGTCCCTGGCTCTAGCCAGAGCTACACATGGCTGGAATCTTTGCTGTACCTGGGCCAGGAGTCCCTACCCTGCTGGCTAAGTTTTTGTTGCAGCCTCTCTGCAGCAAACTCGATAAGTTTTTGGACTCTAAAATTCACAGGAGTTAGCTACTTTCATACACTTCCCCTGTACAGATGGCTAAATCGTTCACTTCTTTCCTCTCCTGGTAGGTTTTGGCCTTCTCTAGGCACCCTCCTCAGACTGCTGCCACACCATCATCAGAATCATCACTGTCAGCAGATTTGGTGAGTCAATTGGGTTTTCTTAAAGGAAGCAATTAATGAAAAGAATCTTTTCCCACATTAAAAAATGGGAAACATTTTTACAATGGAAGGCATTTGGTCTATGACTATACATTACACTGTCTGAAAATGGAACAATTAAATGAGAGGATAATTAATGTTGATGGGATAGATATAATGTCAATTATAAATATTATTCATTTGATCATTTTTGTTTTATCATTAAAAATGTTGGTTAATATGAGTCCCAAGATAAAAATTTTAGAAAAACTTGTTAAAACAGATCATAGAGATATTCAGACCCAGACAGAAGAATTTAAAGGAGAACCAATCTCAACATTGCATTATAAGTTTACAGAGAAATAGCCTAAGGTTTTCAAACAGCCAACCTTAATCTATCCAGTAACTTTATAGGAACTAGCCAGTGATAGGTATCCTCAAGGCTGTGAAAGAACTGACTGGACTCCTGTGCAAATGTTAGATTTGAGGAGATTCAAAGAAGTAATAGTCTCATATGGAACCCATTCATCTTTTGTGAAGGAGGTGTTAAATTCATGGTCAACTTGTAATAGATTATCTCTCAAGACTGGAGAGATTTGGTTACAGCAGTCTTAGAGGCCGGTCCCAAATTACAATGGGAGAACTGCTGGAAAGATGAGGCTAATACTATTGAACAACAGAGTAGGGCTAGAATTATTGAAATTTGCCAAGATCAACTTCTTGAAGAAGGAAATTATGCTGACATACAAAGACAATCTTTATATGATGACCACACCCTAGCATTGTGCTTGGGACAAAAGTGAAGAAATAGGAAAGAAAATTGAGTCATTTACAAAAGTTATACAGGGCCCAAAAGAAACCTTCACGGATTTCTTACAAAGACTGACTTTAGCAGTGAATAGAATGATACCAAACTCAGAAGCTAGACAGACAATAATCAAATCTCTGGCTGTTGAAAATGCCAGTGGACAATGGTAATTAGGCCATTAAAGGTAACATCAGCACCCTTGGACTGGATCCCAGATACAATTAATATTGGATCTCCTGACCATGATGATGCTTGGATAGGAGAGGTGATTTCCAGAGTTTTGAAGAAAAATAGTAATGTCAAATATTTCAATTGCAGTAAACAAGGTCACCTAAAAGGGACTATAAACATGGTATTCCTAGAAACAATGTTTTTGCTAAGAATAATATGAACAGAATGCCCCTCCTTTCTAGATTATGTAGAAGCTGTGGTAAAGGTAGACATTGGATTAAAGAATGTAGATCAACAAGGGACAGACAAGGTAATCTTTTGCCTTTGCTGTAGGGAAACATCCTGAGGAGCCTACTGCAGGCCCCCATGTAAAATTCTGTTCAGTCCTTTCCTGTAATTATGGAAGAAACTCCTTCCCAGAACAATTAAGGAGCCTGCCTATTGACCACATTCCTCTGGATGATAGAACAAAAATAGAAAAGAGAACAAAGAATCAGGAGAAACCATAAATCAAATATGGTAAAGATTAGATTTGGAAACTTCCACAAAGTTCGGGGTGGGGAAGGTTTTGTTTTTGTTTTTCAGGAAAATGAAGGCATCCAGATAAGGAATCTGAAGACCACTGGACAAATGATACATTTGAAGAGACAGGATGAATCATCCAGAAAACTTGTCCCAAGAAAAAGATTTTCTGTAGTGAACCAATACCACACTTAACAGTGCCCTTTGAAGTATCGAAAAAGATGATGGGCCCACACAACAATGATTCCATCAGGATAATAATACCACCATTAAGCTGACAAACACCACCCAAAGATCAGCTTTGGACTACAGACTGCTCAGGACATTTATCAAGATGGCTAGTTGAGATGATACAGCCTTAGACCACTCCAATCAGGACTTGACCATAACCTAAATTTTATTTGTGTCCCCATAAGACTCCCAGCACCCTCAATCAATAGGAAGTAGCCTAGAAAACTATGCCAACATTTCCAAAAAAATGGATTATGGATGTTTGTCTTTGTTTTGGAGTTGGTTAAAAATTGATATTGGTCATAGTCAATCTCTTTCTAGAAGAAGAAAGGGGGATATGATATAGAAGTATATTATATAGAAATGATAGACTAAAAGGTAGATTATTGAATCTACTCTGAACAAAAAAATACAGAAATAATAAGCTAACAGGGTAGATTATTGGATCTACTCTGAAAATAAAAAAGGGAGAATATAGATATGATAAGATAAAAAGGTTTTAAAAAGCAACTACTAGTTTTAAATATTTTACATTTGATTGGATTGTTGTATATTTTATTTGAGATTAATGTTACAACATACTGTACATACACTTCTAATCTTGTTCAAGGTATTGTACCTATACAGTACTTTTAACAATGTAATGCAATTTTCTAGTCCTTGAAAGTTATTATTACCAACCAACTAGGATATAAAGAAATGCAAATTAGTAGTTAGTCACCTATTACAATTGAACTTGTAGTCATATTGAGTATGTATTCAAGGTCAAACAGAGATATATTTTAGGTAGACAGGTCATCTTCAAATACTTCAGAGATCTACAGAAGATGACATGCTAAGATGTTTTAGTAACATAGATTTGTTTTTTATGACAATGAGACATGTCTGCTCCTGACAGGACCAATATACTTTAGAGAAGATGATGGGCATCTTCATATGGAGTTTACTTTTGTTTTAACAAAAATTAGTCACTGGGCAAGAAAATCCCCTTGCCTTAACTGCTGACAGTATACTATCCAAAATGGACAAGCAGGACACAAAAGAAAGGGCAGCCGAACCTTGCCAAGACAAGGTAGGAAGGCTCTTCAGAAAATCCTGCTTCACAGAAAAGTCTGTCAGATGTTCTAAGCCTGTTGGCTGAAAATGATGCCACAATGTTGCAGAGGAACCTTGGGTGACTGTCCAGGCAGCCAACTGTTTCTGTCATTTCTCACACTTTTTGGAAGTCACTTTCTTGTACTTCCTGCTTACTCAGTGAATATAATTTCCTTTTCCGGTCTCTGAGGGAGTTGAAGATTAGATAGTTATAATTATAGTTTTCCTTGTTAACAAATTCAGAAAAAAAAGTCACTAAAAGAGGTGTAAAGTGTATAATTTTGAAAGACATCAAAAGATAGTTTAGTTTTGGGTTGGTAATACAAGTTAGGATAGAAAGTGAATTAGGTACAACATTTTGGACTCACTAGAATAGGATAGATAATGGAATATTTTCTCTAAATCTGTCAAATGTTAATGGACTGGACATTTTAATGTAATTCTAAGTGTATATATTATATATAGTTATTGTGTATAGTTTTTCTTATATTAATTATCACCTTCTTTTATTATTTTAGACAAAAATGAGGAAATGTGGTGATATATTTTGTACCCTAATAAAATCTCCCTGAAGATCAGGACAGAGCAATCCACTAGATTAAACATAGATGCCAGGTAGTGGTGGCACATACCTTTAATCCTAGCACTTAGGAGACAGATCTCTTAGAGTTCAAAGCCACCCTGGACTACATGATACTGACTTAGTTTAGGAGAGAAACAGAGCCAGACAGTGGGGGCACACACCTTTAATCCCAGTACATGGGAATCACATACCTTTATTCCCAGGATGTGATGGCTGGGTGGAGAAAGGTATATAAGGTGTGAAGAGACAGGAACTAGAGCCTTTTCAGCTGAGGAAGTTCATTCAGCTGAGACTTTTTAGACTGGATCTTTTCAGGTGAGTACTCAGAGGATTTGTGGAGTTGGTGAGGTGAGACATGGCAGTGGCTTGTTCCTTTGTCCCTCTGATCTTTCAGCATTTACCTCAATATCAGGCTTTAGCTTTTTTATTATAAAACTTTTAGAAATTCTTGAGTTAAATAAATGCAACATAAAAGAATGCAACACATCTTTGCATCATTAAACAAGTATTCCACAGCATAAACAAATGTAACACATCTTAAAATAATATTCTACAACAAGACTCCCTGATTTGTTTCTAATGTAAGACTAAAGGAATAAAGAGAGTATATTATTGCACTTTAAGCAATGGAATTCATTGCTCAAAATCTCTTTTGATGTTTCTGCATCAGATGAGACTAGATCATTCACATATTTGTCTGAAGTATCCTGGTTTTGTGAAAAGACTCATGTTAGGCTCTGGTGTTTCTTCTCTAGTCCTATGACAAAAGGGGACAGGTCTTTAAGTCTTTTATTCTGAAACTACTCATGGTTTCATGTTCTCTAAAGGACATACAGAAATAGGGAGCATATGATAGCTAATCTTCATTGTCAACTTAACTGGATTTAGGAGCTAGAGGCACATCTCAGGGGGATGTCTGTAAAGTCACTTCTAGAGGACTATCTGAAAGAGAAGCTCTACCTGTTATGTTGGTGGCACCATTACATATGCTAGGGACCCCATCCAATATAAAATGGGAAAAGGAGAACTCTTAAGAAAACCAATATCCCCCTTCTCTGAACTACACTGCTATTCTCTCTGCACCATGATGGAAAGAGCCCTTTAGAACTGTGATCCCAAATAAATCTTTCCTCTTGCTTCTGTTGGAATATTGACTGCAGTGATAGAAAATAATTAACAGGAAAAAATAAAAGAAACTCCAGTATGTTCACTGTCTTTCCGGTGCTTGTGCCCAGTGTTACTTTGCTTGTCTATCTTTTTGTAACCTTGCAATTGTCATTTATGCCTAGTTTTTGGTTAAGCAGGAATACCAAGGAAAAGTTGGTCTTAAATCATCTTTTTTATACCTGCGAGTCACTATAATATTTCTGTGGGATTTAATACTTTAAAAATAATTTTGCAGCATATTTAATGTACATTCTTCGTTTAGAAGGCTAAATCAAGTTATGCCATTTACTGCTAAAATTATTCTGTTTTTTCTTTCAAAGACGTGAATTTGATCTCTTTTCAGATATGCTTGTCTTTTGTTTTTAGGTGTCCTATTATATTTTACTTTAACATTTTATAGTTAACCATATTCTGTAATTTAAGTATACTTTCTAAAACTGGCTATTTATTCCCATTTATTTTTAATAATTTAATATATGTTAACAATTAAATGTGATCATATCTACCCTAATTACCTCCTTCAACTTTCTCAATATTCTCCCATCATACCTTCTCACAACTTTATGTGATAAAACATAAAGTACAGTTAGTGCTGCCCTTAAGTGCATGTATGTGGAGCCATCCACTATAGCATGGAAAACACACAATTGTCCATACACTTAAAAAAAGATTCTCCCTGCACCAACAACTATCCATTGTCAAAAACTCCACAGTAAGGGATAGAACTTGGAGATCATGCATCCCATCTGTGCTGGAATTTTTGCTTCCTTGACGTTGTGTATGTACAGATAGGCTCATGTGCTACGCGTTCATATCTGACAGCCATGTCACGCACAGAAGACAGCATTGCACAGTACTCCTCCTCATCTTCTAGTTCTTAAATTCTGCTTCCTCTTCTGCAATGTTCTCTGAACCTTTGTGAAGTTAATATACATTGTTGCATTCAGAGCTGAGCTTGAGACTTACTCTCAGTGTTTTGAACAAGTTATGTGTCTTTCCATTGACTTCTGTTCACTGCAAAAAGAAGCTTCTGTGACTAAGATTGAGAGCAGCTCAACTCTATGTATATAAACATACATATTTACAAGGTATGTTGACACCATTGCCATTTAGCAAATAATGATAGCATGTTTAGACTTGGGCCTTTAAGGGTTTTTATTTGTTCTTTAAACATATTTAACAGTTATTTTTATATTTGCAGCTTTTGAATCATTTGCAGATAAAATTTAGCTGTACTGCCTTTTCTGTTCCATTTTACTCAGTTTCTTTTGTATATTTTGTGATCTTTTTCAACATTGTGCTCATATTTATTAGTGCTAGAAGCATATAAATTACTCTATAATTTTCATTAAGTTTTTAAAGACATATCTCAAATATCCCTCACTTCTCTAATGTTCTTTAACAAATAAAATACATCTTGGAAGAAATAAATTACTCATTAGTTTCAGTTATTCTCACAGGGAAGTTTGGTTAATATTAATACCCTAAGAATGTTATATAGTTAGTAATTGGGTCTTGGTTTTTAAAAAATTTTCAGAATAACTTAGTCTGATTAGGAAATTTGCTTTTATTCTGAGATTAAAATCTAAAGTTAACATATATTTTACATTGTTTCTAAATAAAACAGTAGCCTGGTATAAGATTCATTCAATCCAATCACTCCTCTCTTAATTTATGTTGCTGTACATAGTTTCTAATCGACAAAATATCTATATGTTAGGAAAAGAATCTTTTCAGGATTTCGAGATCCCACTCTCAAGAATCCTTTAATTTTGTGACCCTACTTCACCAAAAAGTTTTGCAGAAGTGATTGAATTAAGCAAGGATCTGGAGGTATGAATATCCTGCATTATCTGGACAGGCTCTAAAGGAAATCATAAGGATCTCAAAATATGACAAAGAGTCAAAAGTATCAGAGCTGATATGATGATGCGAGTAGATAATAGATTGTGAATACCAGTTCTGGTGATATATGAAAGGGTCATGATACAAGAACTACAGACTGCTTCAAGAGAAACAACAGCAAGGGAATAGGTTCATCCTTAGAGCATTTTGAAAGAAATGTAGCCCTGTTAACAATGTGACTTCAGTGCATTTGATTTCTCACTTCTAGAACTGTGAAATAATCAATTATTACACTAACGTATTAAATTTTCTCAATTTTATAGCAACCATAGGAAAGTATTATTGTTCAAAATTAAGTTTTTGATAAATTCTGATTTAGATTGTTTTCTATAGCTGTAGGATGATGAAAAGTGTATTATTATGAATGCTGTCATTACTATTATATAAGTGTGTGTTATGTGTGTATGAGAGAGAATAGGTGTATGCATATCTGGGTGTGAGTGAAGGTCAGAGTACACCCTTCAGATGTTTTAGCCTTCCACCAAGGAATCTAGGAACATGCTCCATCTTGCTAGCCTTATTTTCCCCCCTTTTAAAAAGATTTATTTGTTTTTATTTTATGTGTGTACATGAGTGTCTCCATGTTTGTATGTGTAATATTTTCAAGTCTGGTTCCCTTAGAGAGAAGAAGAGGACAGATCCTCTGGATCTGGAACTGGAACTGTAGTTACATAGGATTGTGAGTTATCCTGTAGATTGTAGGACTTAAAACTGGATACTCTGTAAATAGCAAACAATCTTAACCATTGAGTCTTTTCTCCATTGTGTCATTTCTCCAACCTCTTGTTTTTTGTTTGTTCTGTTCTGTTTAATTCTGTTTTCTAATCATGATGTGTGCATGCATGTGCGTGTGTGTGTGTGTGTGTGTGTGTGTGTGTGTGTGTGTTGTGACTGTGTATATGTATAAGCATGTGCTTTTGTATGCATGCAGAGGTTAAGGGACAACTTTAGACATTGGTCTTCTTTGTCTTCTTCTTTGCTTGAGAGAGCCTCTCCTTGTTTGTCAATGTGTATGCCAGACTAGTTTGCCCATTACGTTTTTGAGAATTCTCCTGTCTGTGCTTCCCATCTTGCAGTAGGAGTGCTGGGATTACAGTACATTGCAGATATGTGCGGATTCTAACTCAGATCTTGACTCTTTATTTACCCACTGCACTATATCCCCAACCTATAACAACAATTTTTTTTAAAGAAAATTCAATATTTCATGATAGAAAATAAGTATATACAGGGTTTCAGTGTGGACTTTCCAGATTCTCATTTGCCTGTACTATTTACAACTTATTTGTTCAAGTTTTTCAATTCCTAGATGGCTTTGTTTCTCTAAATATGGCTGCCGGTAATAATATTATGTAGTGTGTATGTTTGTGAGGATGAAAAAAAAAACTAATCTGTGCAATTCGTTTATTTCAATACCTGGCACATAGTAAGCCCTTAACTATGATGTCAAGCATAATAGCACCAATGAGTAGACATAGTGCTACTGAGGTACCCCTGGACAGGCCACAGACTCCCCTTTGTATAATTCTCAAATGAACTGTATACTCTGTGTTGAATCAGAATGAAAAAGTAAATAAATCTACAATAAGAAGCATTCTTCAAACAACTGGTTCATATTATTCAAGAGTCAAAGTCATTAAAATTGAAAGACTGAGGAACAGTCCAAAGGGCATGACTACATGTGATATGGGATCCAGCATTACTTTTTGGAGCATATGCACTACATTAGCAGAAAAATGGTTAAATATAAATATGGGACACAGTTTAACTAATTGTGTTCAATTGGTATGATTTTTTTTTTTTTTTTTTAGTTTTGATGATCGTGTTCTGTTCCTGTAAGTTGAGGACAATGAAATGAAGCTAGGGTGAGTAAAGGGTTTGTGTAATACAATTAAATTTTACATTTTTGAGCTAGGGTCATGTGTCTTCAAAGCTTGTATCCTAGGTTGGCTACAAACTCCCTATATATTGAACCTTGAACTCTTAATCTTCCTCTTTCTACCTCCTACTTCTGTGATTACAGGTTTTTGCCACCATGATTGGTTTATGTGAGGCAAGAATCCAGGACCATGCACATACTAGGTAAACATTTTTCCAAATAAGTTACATCTCTAAACCCAGCAACATTTAAAAATAAGTTCATTTTAATTCAAAAGGCAAAATGAAGATAACAAACAGAGATATAATATTACTTGAGATAGGAAGTATCTGTATAGTAAGCATTCACTCATTTATTCAAACAGACATGTATATCTTGTCTGACATGTATAGATAATATACTAGGTACAAGTCAAGCAAATATAATCATGACTTATTTTTCCACTGAGAATTTTTTCCATTGAAATAGAAAATTTTAAATTGTTAAAAATTATAGTTAGTGCTACTATTTTACCACTATAAGGCAAATGCCTTAGATGTTAGGTCATGATAAACTACATAACATATATATTTTGAAATATGTTACCCAATTTCTTTTGTTTAAAACTGTTGGAGCTTTTCACTAAAATTTTATTCGTTGAATTTCAGAATGTGATCGCATTTGAAGATAACCTCTTTAAATAAAGCAGATTTTCATTTCTTTGCCAAGAAATTTTTTTCTCCTTTTTTATTAAGAGATTTTCTATTCATTTTACATATCAACCACATATTCCCCTGTCCTCCCTCCTCCCACCACCCAGCCTTCCTCCCTCAACCCACCCCCATTCCCACCTCCTCCAAGGCAAGGTCTCCCATGGGGAGTCAGCAGAGCCTGGTACATTCAGTGAGGCAGGTCCAAGCCCCTCCTTCCTGCACCAAGGCTGCGTGCAAAGTGTCTCACCATAGGTACTAGGTTCCAAAAAGCTGGCTCATGCACTAGGGACAGGTCCTGATCCCACTGCCTGGGGGCCTCCTAAACAGTTCAAGTTAAACAACTGTCTCACTTATCCAGAGGGCCTAGTCCAGTACCATGGGGGCTCCTCAGCTATTGGTTCACAATTCACACGTTTCCACTAGTTTGGCTAGTTGTCTCTGTACTTTTTCCAATCATGGTTTCGATAACTCTTGCTCATAGAATCCCTCCTCTCTCTCCTCAATTGGATTCCTGGAACTTCACCTGGGACCCAGCCATGGATCTGATCTCTTTATCTGCTTCCATCAGTCACTGGATGAGGGTTCTATAATGATAGTTATGGTATTCAGCCATCCGATCACCAGAGTAGGCCAGCTCAGGCACCCTCTTGACCATTGCCAGTAGCCTATGGTGGAGTCATCTTTGTGGATTCCTGGGGACCTCCCTAGCACTCTGCTTCTCCCTATTCCCATGGTGCCTTCATTTATCATGGTATCTCTTTCCTTGTTCTCCCACTCTGTTCCTGATCCAGCTCGAACCTCCCGTTCCCCTAAGCTCTCATTCCCCTGTCCCTCTCCCTCCATTAGCCCCCTCACCGCCAGTTTGCTCATGTAGATTTCATCCATTTCTCCATTGCTGGGCGATCCCTGTGTCTTTCCTAGGGTCCTCCTTACTAGCTAGCCTTCCTGGAGCTGTGGGTTGCAGTCTGGTTATCCTTTGCTTTACATCTAGTATCCACTTATGAGTGAATACATAAGAAGAGAATTATAATGAAATTTCAACACACTAAAATTATGGGGAATGAATACTCTGATTAATATGTCCTTTGTCTACATGAATACTTTCTCTTATTTGTTTTGTGTGCGATATGTGTATCTGCATATGATGTGAATGTATATGATGTGTGTATATATGACTTTGTGTCCTATTTAAAAAACTTGAAAGTCAGATTTTGCCTCCCATATGCTCTTGCATTTGAGGCCTCCCAATAGAGAATAGTTAACCTACCAAGGGTCACACTCATAAAGAAAATTTACTCTCAGTCTTCTAGCAGCTATCAATTGCCAGTACATCCTTAACTATATGTAGAACTTCATGCCCTCCTCTCCTGATTAATCCTGGGAATTATCTAGCTTTAGCTTTCCAGGGTCTTGATATGGTGTCACAACTATTGTGAGTTCACATGTGCAACTTTTCTATTGAATTTGGAAAACACTTTCACTGAAATCATCTACTACCTCTGGCTCTTACAATCTTTCTGTTCCTTCTTCTGAAATGATTTCCCAAGTGCTGGGAGATGAGGACTTGATAAAGATTTCCCATTTAGCGCTGAGAACTACACAGTGTCTTATTCTCTGCATGTTGACCAGCTGGGAGTCTCTGTATTAATTGCCATGAACTTCAAGAAGAATATTCTCTGATTACGGTTGAGAAATTTACTTATCTGTTTGTAGAAGGATAACTCATTAAGGGTCAGTTTAATACTATGTCAATTTACCAGAATAATAATAATCGGTTGTTTCTAGGGCCTGTGACTTATCTTGCCTAGGGTTCATAGCCCCATTAATAATGCCAGGCATGAGTTCAGACTAGTGGGAATAACCTGACAGGCCAGTGGTTATTATAGCTTTCAGAATTTTAAGCTGAGTAAGACTGATGATAATTTTTCTCCTGTGATAGGAAAAATAAAATCTCTGTACTGAGAAAGAAGAAATACAGATCAAGCTTCCAACTTAATGCCATTTAAATTTTTTTCATGTTCTATGAATCAGGTATGTGGTAACTTCAGAATAGAATAATAGAATTCTTATTAAGTTTTGGAGAATAACAGAAGTAACGGAAATAGCTTGTAATATCTAGGTATCTACATGACCCCATTGGCCAAAAACTCCAAAAGAAATGAACCATTCTTGGTACTGGATTTTTTAATTTGTTACTGGAATTTTTAATTTAAATTGTTAATTTAATAGAGACATAGCAGAGCTAATTCATTTAAATTTTTTCTACAGAATAGAAAAAATACACTACACATCTGACAGATAGTATCTAGAATATTTAAAATCTAGAAAAAATAAGTCAAAACCAAACAAAACCAAAATCCCACAAAACTAAACAGGAAGAAACCAAACAACCCATTCAAAAATTGTGGCATGGAGCTAACAGAAAATATCCAAATGATGAATACAAATGACTATGAAATAGATTTTGATAAAAACTTAATAAAATATATGTATTTTAAAGTTCAGTTATCATGTAAATGCAAATTAGAATTACTTTGAGGTACCATTTTACCCAATTAAGAATCCTTAAGATTGAAAAGCAAATTATGAGAAATACTAACACGAGTGTGGGAAAAGGAAAACATTTATTTATTGCTGAAAGGAGTGCAAGTTGTTGCAGCCACTATGGAAATCAGTGTAGAGTTCTTTAGATAGTTAGAAATAGATCTACCACATGACCCAAGTATATGAGTAGTTTAAAAAAAACCTCTTTTTCCCTCTTTCTGTTGAAGTATTTTACACATATATGAGTAATTAAGGTTTGGGGGTCATTAAGGGATTCTTAGGACATGAGGTCTGCTGCCATATGTGTAGGATTAACACTATAATTTCTATAGTTAAAGTATTTATTATAGCCAAATTTCAAGTTAGAAATTAATTCATTTGCATTTTTGATGTACAAATATGCTGTGTTGTATAAAGAAGTAGTATTTAGTAGTTTTGTAGTAAGTCTATTTCTTCTGTCTCAGTAATAATAATCACATAATTAATTTTTCAAATTTGTTTCTATTGCAATCCATGAGAACCAGCCAATTAGTAGTTACAGTTAATTAACTATTCTTTTGAAATGAAGAGAAAACAGTGGTCTTTACCTATATTTTGTTTGAACAAATATGTTTTATATAAAGACATACAGTTCCAAGTATAGATTTCTACTTGATGTACACTGATATTCTGACTTCATATGTTTCATTCACATGTGGGAATGAGGCAAGAAAGTTAATGTATCTCTTGTGCCTAATCAGTGAGCATATAGTAGTGCAATATGGAAATCCTGAAAATCCAGTTGTTTAAATGCAAATGTCTAGTCTTCAAAATGAAAGTTTGTTCTTTTGTCAGTATCTTTTCTTTATACTTTGAAAATGAAATGTTGAAATTAGGAGAATTTGGACCCCAAAATGTCTATATACTGAAGTGGTTTACTAGATAAGAGATTATGCTTTTTAAAGCATGAAAACAATGTAGTATTAATGCTAAATATGTAGGCTCTGGAGAATGAAAACTTTATTCTGGAATCTGCTCAAATAATAATTCTGGATTTACCAGAGGCCCTCCTGTAAGTTTCCCAGGGATGCTAAAATGATTTGCCACAAATATAGTGGCTTAAGCAACAGAAATTTATTCTCACAGTTCTAGAAGGTAGAAATCCAAAATCAGGATTACTGAGGTGAAAGCAAAGTCATCGTGACTGTATTCCTTTATGAAGTCCCCAGAGGTGATTTTGAGCACGTGACCCTTCCATCTTCTGATATCAGCCAAACATATTAGGCTTTTGCTGCATTATTCATGTCTGCGTTTCTGGTTATGAAACATTCTCCTATGCTTGTTTCTGATCTGTCTCTGCCTCCTTTTGGTCAGGAAACTAGTAATTGAATTTAGAGCTTACATAGATAGTAGAGTAATCTCCTTTTATCAAGGAATTTGAGGTTCTAACCACAACTACAAAGAGCCTATTTCTATATCAGATGTTAGGAACAAATTCCTGGGATAAAGGAGTCACACATATGGTATGAAACATATTTTGTCTTCCATAGCACATAAGCCTTGCTGCTCCTCCATTCTCTTTGCCTCCACAGCAATGTTATATTAGCAGCATCTACTTCATAGGCATTTGTGGAGGATTAATGAATGGATGAATTGCTATAAGTTCACTAGCAATACAAAGAGTTAACAGATATGTTAGCATGAGACTAATCTTTTGGATAATTAAAAAAAACAAAGATGGATTGGGCATATAGCTCAGTTGGTAGAGCACATACAAAGCCCTGGGTTTGATACTTAGTATCTCAGAAACTGGACCTCATGACATACATACATAATCTCCAGCACTTGGGATGTACACAAAGTAAAATCACAAATTCACAACCATATTGGGTTACATAGAGTGGTTGATGCTAATTTGGAATATATAAGACTCTGTTTCAATAAACAAACAAAAGCAAACAACACATTCAGAAACAAGTTGGTCATTA